AAAAATTAAACTAACATGTTTCTCATTAGAGAAATCCATATTGAAAAGACTCTTTCGTGTCGGTGTATGAGATGAAATAATGAACTGAAACCCTAATTTTGAGAAAATAGAAAGTGGACTTGTTATTAAATATGTGTGTATAGCATGAGATTGACTTACTNTAACATACATGAAATCAAACAAAAAATTAAACTAACATGTTTCTCATTAGAGAAATCCATATTGAAAAGACTCTTTCGTGTCGGTGTATGAGATGAAATAATGAACGAAACCCTAATTTTGAGAAAATAGAAAGTGGACTTGTTATTAAATACGTGTGTATAGCATGAGATTGACTTACTTAAAATAAGGATGAGTATAGAAGGGATTGATTTAGTAGTTTGCTTAAAAAATTTAATGGGGGTGAGAACGAGTATTTGTGAGGGTGGAATAGCCTCACCCACCCTATATAGTTATATATGTTTTGCTAATAATATAGGGAAAGCCTACGGTATTGTTGGCGGTCCCGCATCAAAAATTATAACTTTTTAAGACTAAATTATAATTTTTTGAGGTGTAAGTTACAACTTTTAAAAAGCATGATTAATCATCTGAGATTGAGGTGGATACCAAAATTACAACTTTTAAAGGTTAGATTAGAACTTTTAAATATCAACTTACAATTTATAAGAGATAAGTTACAACTATTAAAGGGGAGCCCATGATCGATCGTGGGTGTTTGTGACTTTCAAATATATAATTTTACCATAAAAAATTATTATCAATGGTACGGTACCAATTTTTTTTTTTTTAGTACCGTAGACTTTCCAAATAATATATGTTCTTATCATATATATTTTTACATTTTTATATGTTCTTATTATAATTTATATAAAATTATTAATTAATAAAGTCAGAGTCAAAGCTTTTTTGAAAAGAATTTCCAACTCCGACTCTTTTAAATTTCACTTGGAGTCGGTGCCAGATTTTTCGAATACTTGCACACTCCTAATGCACGAAAGAGAAATGTTAGTATTTGTGAAAAGTAGAAAGAAAAATATTATTTGGATTTAAAATGTTGACATCATTTATTGACTTGATGAATCTTAATAAATATTAAAATCCATAACTAAAGTAACGACAATGATTAGAGGTGACAATCTTAACTTATTATCTATTAATCTGTCTAACCCGTCCATAAATAAATGGGTTGGATAACTATATTAATTAATATGAATTTTAAATGGATTGGGTAATATGATTCATTTAAAAACAAGTTAATATTAATTACAAATGGGTACCCATTAAGTTGAGTATTTATCTTTTTATTAAATAACACAAGTAATAAAATTAAATAAATATACTAAAAAAATACACACTATTACACCAAAAAATACACATATATACTAATTCACCAAAACATACACACACTAGTACATAAAAAAAATACACTAATACATCACTCATGACCCACAAATCGACCCAGACTCATGAGTTGACCCACAAACCAACCCATAACCCACAATCGACCCTATCTATTATGTGTGTATTTTTTTTATTACATGTGTTTTTGTTTTTTGTGTTAATATATGTATATGTATTAGTAATTACCCGTGCCTAAAGACACTATATAACAAATAAAAAATCGCAAATAAATGTTGATTCTTGTCAACCTAATCTTTGTTGCTTCCTTGAATTTTAGATGACTCTGCCGTTAACTATTCCTCAAAGCAATGATACCAAATTTTCTTACTTAGTGCATAATTAAATCAAAAAACATATAATAAATCAACCGCAATAATCATAAACTTTTCAAAGCCACAAAATTCAGTCATACATTCTCAACTATGATATTTACCTAATATTTTATACACGAATCTTATGCAAAATAACTTGATTGTAGACAAAAAACATCACATGAAATTAGAATAAAAATAAATAACAGTTTTACATAATTTGAATCCAATAAAAACAACAACTGGATCGTAGTCCCTCTTTCACGAAATGTGCTTCCATTGGCTTTGAAGAGAAAATCAAGCCCACGTTTGTATAGATCCAATCAACGGAGCCTTTGCCGCTTAAACTACAATGAAGAAATCAAAACTATAATATCAAATGGATGTAAAAATCATTCTTAGTATCTTTTAATACAAAGATCATCCCTGTATAGTTCTAGCATTATACCATGACAGACTGAAGTAATACATTTCGGTACAACTTCTGTAGAAAACCTCACCGAATGGAAGTAACAACTCTACAATAACAAAATAATTCCAAACTATGAATGCATAAAACCCCAATGTCACCACCAATTCATAATATATTCTAAGGTTTAAAAAAATATAACTTCATATCACACTCAAAAGTGAAGCAATATATCACTATAACAACAATTCATTATCCAAAAAGTATAGCTGAATCCACTAAAAGCTGCCATTATTTCTTTACTTCATGCAAGATTCATGTACTTAAATCTGGGAAATAAAGAAAAAAGACAATCATAATTGTTTACCACAACAGAGCATCAAAAGAAAGTAATCAAACTATACTACCTCCCTCTCATTCTTCCTGTAGAACTTGAGAAGTGAATTCATGCACCTAACGTACTACTCAAGCATTGTAACCATGGACTGCCCTCTATGGCTATCCTCTTTGCTGCCTCGGTTGTTTCATCCAACTCTTGTCTCCCCTCATTCAACAACCTTCTCAAAATTGCCCAACATATCAACGCATCATAAATTTTCCATAGATCAGTAATATCCAACAACTCTTACCTCATTTTTTTACTATTGACAAATAGTGAACTACTTGTAATTAAAAATCATAGAAAATAGATAATCTACATTAACAAGCAAAACTATGGGTTTACTTAATTGAATCCATAAAGTGAAAAACAAAATTTTAATTGTTAAATCCTTAAAAATAATTCTTTAGATCACAACATAAAATCCACAAAAATAAACACATTCATTCATCATCCACATATATATCTAGAGGGATATAAGGAGAAACCCATAATAGTGTAAGCAAAGTTGCAATTCCTAAAAGTGGTAGCACAATGAATTCAATCCATAAAGAAGGCTAGCTAGAAACGATTGCAATATAAATTATATGCCCATTCAATGCATAGAACATAATCTAATCCATATAAAAACCAATCCAATTTCATGACTCCAAACCAAGCTAATTCACTTTGTCCCAGCTGAATATTAATTGCCTATATGCACCATTTTGAATCAAATAACCAAAACAATCAACTATTGAATTTAAACCCAAACAATTCATATTACCAATTTAAACCCAAGCACATTTATGGACAACCTTTAACGAAATATATAAGCCCATTGTGAGACTTACCTTGAAGCCCTTGTTGAAAGATAGCAAATGAGAATGAACTTAGTTCCTCTAAATCCATCATCATTTAAAGTAACTGGCTCCCTAAACAATAAAAATTCTTATGAAACATAATCACAATTAAAAAAATGCAATCAATAATGAAGCAAATGCATTATTGATGATGCAAGTCACAATAAGGAACATGAATTCAGACATGGATGTCAATAAAATGGTGCACTGTCAGATTCAATTAGGAAAAAATAAAAATATGATATTCACACCATAGATATCAAAAAGTATACCTAACATTTCCATCAACAAAAAGTTTGTTTGTCAAATACCATGGATATCGATTACACGAATTCAAATCATAACAGCAAAACTAATTCAATAACAGTAAATAAGGGAAATAGTAAATGGTGGTGGGTTGTGGTGGTCAAAGGGTGGAACTGGCTTGCTGTTAACCTTGGTATAATTTTGATTGGTAGGTTACTCAAGTACCTTACAATCCTTTTGTCAAACACATTATATTTACTTTATCAAATTAACAATGGGTGGTTCAAGTACCATATAATCCTTTTGTCAAATGCATTATACACACTTTATTAAACTAACAATAATTTTAATTCAATAATCAGGGTGGTGGTGGCTGGAGGTAGAGGTGCAAGGGCTGGAAATGTTTGGAGAGAAGAGAGATAGAGAGAGGATGCAGACTGTTGTGTTTGATTCTGTCTGCGTGTGTGTGAAGCAGCGTGTGTCAATTTTTGTGTGTGTGTGTGAAAGGTTGCTGGGGTTAGGACAGAGGGTAAGAGAGATAGGTAAGGTGGTGATGGTGGCTAGGAACAGAGAGGGAGGATTGGCAAAAAGAACTATCAATCCTATAAGATTCCAGTTCAGAAATTTTTGTAACTCATTTGTAACAAACAAATACCAAAATTTCAAATCAAAAAATGGAAAGGTGTAATAGGAAGAAATCTTACCAAAGAGCTTCATCACTGATTCCATGAGTGAAGCATTACCAAAGCGCTTCTCAACCTTCAAAACACACACATATCCTCCTCTTAATCAAGTAGTATTGTTAACCCTTAAAGCTTAACACCAAAGAAATTAAACTATGAAAATCAAGAATCAAAAGTGTGCCTATTGTTCATTCAATCCAAATAACCATGTTTCCATGAGAAATTTCATCAAACTAATCATGTGCATAACCAAAGATGTAGCATTTGTTCAATACATAATCAAAAGGAATTTCATGCTAGAAAACACCATGCCAAATTGCACAAACAATGAATGAATGACCACAACACCATAAATTGCCAACTAACAAAACTGGGTATTTACACAATTTTATAAGCAAAAAATTTGCTCAGAGTTCAAGAATTCACTAACCACGGCAAATCTTGAAAGTGCAAGGTTCATCTCAAAAATTCCAGGTTATGAATTATTTTAGTCATACAAATTCCTTCTCACTAAATTTGTTTCTTCATTCAATTTTTATTGAAAGAAGATTGCTGGATGTAAAGTGCTTTGTTTTACCTTGGTAAAGGATTATCCATTTTTATCTTTTATCTTCTGCTATCTTTGGCAAGCCAGAGGTCATTTACAGTGTTCCAAAAATTAGTTCCTATACCTTAAAATGCTAGGGAGTTCTACTCCAATCTTATACTTTGTGGGTCTAACCATGCATGTTTTAGTCAACGGTGCAAGCATACAGAATGTCCAGAGGGATTGAAGATAGACCAGCCCCTGCCTAATGTCACCTTGATATAATTTTGGAACATGTGTGATTAAAGATGATGTGAAAAGTGCATGAGATCAGTTTAGAAGTCATTAATTAACTTTCATGCAAAATGCATATCCCTTTCACCATCTGGAAGTGATGAAAGTTTGCTCGACTCTGACAGAGAACTGGAGATGACACTTTGAGACAACAACTGGAAGACGTGAACTCGCTGACAGAGGAACTGATTGATAGGACTATGACCAAATTTTTAGAACAGGTGAAAGATGGCAGTTGGACAACAGGTGGATGGTCTCAAGTAAACACTGACTACTCAGTGTCAAAACTTGTTGTGAATGCATACACAAGGTTTATGGCAAAGACACTTTCAGATCGCCCAGAGGGTCAGAAGATATACATCAATTGTAAATCAATTAAAATTTAGTGAAAGAATCAATTAAAATCCAAGAGAAACATAATTTCAACACATTATACCCCAAAAAATAGGTACACAAAAAATTCATAATAATAATAAATAATGGTAGATTACACAAAATTTCTCTCAGTAATTCCAACAAACACTTGGTGTCCAACAAACTCTCGGTGTTTGGTTATGCTCTGTGTGTGTGTGTAAGCGATGTGTGTGATGTGGGTGCGTGGGTGCTGGGTCTGTGTTAGGTGTGTGTGTGCTGGGTTTGTTTGTGTGTGTGTGTGATTTGTGTGTGCTGGGTTTATTTGTGTGTTGTGCGCTGTGGGTGTGTCTGTGATTGTGAAGTGAGAGAGAGAAGTGAGCGAGCAGAGAAGAGGTGGGGGTAGGAGAGAGATGAGGCATACCTGGGAGGGGTTAGCAGCGACGGTGGTGTTGCTAGTGGTGTCGCTGGAGCGTAAGAGAGAGAGAGAGAGCGATAAAGAGAGAGAGGCTAAGTGCCGATAGCTGCGGCGGTGTTGG